TATGAAATAACGATTGAAAGGTCAAAATTTTTTTGAATTTTTAATAGATTATTAATTATTCAATAAATTAATTAATAAATATAAATTTCTTTTTTATAACTGCCAGTCTTACTATTTTCTGTTTATAATTGTTATTGCTATGCATTTCAATGCTCTTGAAAATCTTCTTTCGTAAGTTCTTTCGCATTTAATTTTCATTTATAATGATAACTGATGAAGAAGACTTATTGTTTGTTGAACAGCTAATCATGAGCTAATACCTTTTCTTTGGGAAAATCTTTGGGAAATAGCTTTGGGAATCTCCAATAATCAATCACTTATTTTACAAAATTTCTATCGAATTCTCTCAGTTGTTTTTTAATTGCTTTATGGGAAAATTCCAAAAAAAATCACTGAAATCACAGTAATTAATTAACTGCCATATATTTTTTAGTCGACTGCCATCTTTTGTAAAATTTTAAAACTGCCATGACTTTGCACCATTTTCACTATTGTATCTGATATTTTCTAAAGATTTTTTAATATATTTTTCAATATAAATTTCTTCCTTTTTCTTTTAACACCACAATTATTGGTTAGATTGGTTCCGCTGGCTACAAGGACCCAAAGTAAATTCCCATTTTGAGAATTTAATATCTTTAAAATTGTTTTTATATAAAGTTAATTTATGGCTGCTCACAAGTAATATTTAGTTGTGCCGATCTGATCCGAAATTCTTATTCTTGGTGAATTTTGCTGAATTTCATTATAAAAGTTAATTTTAATTTTTTGTAAAATTTTACTCTTTGGTTGAATTTTTTTTCACATATCTTTATTATTGTTTTAAAATTGATGAATGGATTGTTATTAAACGAAAAAACTTATTAAAATTATTTTCCCATTTTCTTATTTCCTCTAATAGCTCTCACCACAATTACTGGTTAGATTGGCTTCGCTGGCTAAGAGAATCTAAAGTGAATTCCCTATTTGAGAATTCCAAGCAGTATTGAACAGTCAATTTTGAATGGTGCTTATTTTTATCGCTTTATTTTTCATGCTTCGCGCTTGATATTAGTACTTTTTGTTTTTTTAAAAATATTTTTTTGTTATTTTTTCAAAATCAATTATCTTTATTATTTGCAAAAAAAAATCATTAAAACATTTGTGATATTTTTTAGTTTGTTTTTTCCTCTTATTAATTTAATTAATTTTTGAGATAATTATTTTTTCAAGAAGGACATTTCGTTTAATCTATTACTTTGATAGTTTCATCGCCTATTAGGCGAATAGTTGATGATAGTAAGTTGATAAGACACCAGTTCCTTTTTAGTTCTAATAAATATCTACCAACAGCTTATCAATGCATTTTAGTAGATTTGATAATGGAATCTTCATAACTTTGACGTTTCTTATTGTATATATTTCTTAGATTCGTCAATTGTATTTTATAAGGATTTCGCAAAAAAATAGCTGAAATTTTTTTAATAAGATTTTCATAAATTTTTTACAAAATGAGAGAAATAAGAAAATTTTTATACAACTTCTAAATAATATGATTTTTCATCCATTGATCGATAGAAATTCGTCCTTTCATCTAAAGTATTTCCCTCTGGCAAGCATTTCATCGGCGAAGCACTTCGTGAAGCACGCCGCAAATGAGATGGATCGGGACTAGAATTTTGAATATTTAATTTTAAAAAACCATATAAATTTATAATCAAAAAAGATATTAGCCAAGAAAGAGAACATGCCTTAATTAGCATGGTTGCACCAAAATTCTAAATTAAATTTATACTTACCCTGGATATCTCGATAAGTCGATCTTATATGGGCAGTAGGCATATAGCATTGATAAGCCTTCCATCACCATAGGCTTATCGCCAAATGGACATTTGACTTTTTCCAACAATGCTTTTGCTAAAATATTTAAATTAAATTTGTTAAATTTAGATATATTTTTACTAGAGAGAGGCTTAAAGAAAGGCAAAGACAAGGCTGTAATATTAATGTAATATAAAGGACTGTAATAATGTGCAATATTAATAAATATACTTTCATGACAAGGGCCTTCATAATTAAACGCTGGCAGTTCGCGAATATTATCAATTTCATATGGAGGCATCGCACAATATGCCTAAAATACGAGTCGAGTTTACAGATCAACAAATTTGATAATTTTAAATGGATGCATCTTGGATTATCATGAATATGAGTTAAATCAGCAAAAAATTATCTTTTAATTATAGAATTGTTTTCGCCAAAAAAAATTCGGTTAATTTTTCTCTATCAATTTCAAATTTTAGAAAAATTTAAACTGTTAGCATACTTTAGTATTGCAGATCTCCTTAAGAAGTTCGGTCATTGAACCAAATGTTAAAAATTGTCCATCATAGGTGCTAAGTCTGGAGCAAACTGTGCTTTTTGGTGCAGTTTTTGCATCTAATAATTTTTGCAATTTGGTAAAATCACATTGAATTTTATCCTTATTACAATTCAAGTACCATGCTGAATTGAGAGAACATCGTGCTGAAAAAAAAAAAATTGTCTTTGTCGAGAATTCAATGGTTTCGCAAATATGATTTTTCGACCAAAAAATGGTGACAAAAGATAACGATAATATATTGCTTAGGTGATTTGTTTTTTTGTTTCTTTTTGTTATTTTTACTTATAAAAACACTTAAGCAATAATTACAACGGTTACAACAAAAATAAAAGAAACAAGACAAACGGATTTGTTGTACCATAGGATTTCAATGAAGAAAAGAAGGAAGGGACTTTGCACAGTGTGACCTAATGCCTTAGATCCTTAGATTACTCCTGTTATCAGCTATTTGGATAGATATTTTATTAAAGATGTAAAATCACCATTAAAATGGAAACCGTCTATAACAAAGAGTACTATATATTATTGCACTATAATGCCATAAAACATGAACAATCCTAGTGGATAAAACAGTTATCTATCTACCTTTAAGTTTTCTGGCAGAATCTCACAGCACTTCATTCATTTTCCCTCAAATGATAGCAAATGAAATATGGTTTTTATGAGTCATTAGATGGTAAATGGAATAACTAAGCATTAGTTTGCTAAATTGGAACAGAGAAATTTAGATTTCGCATTAATTAGCAATTATTCTCATTTATTTTGACTCAAAAATTCCTTAAACTATTTTCATGAAAAAGCAAAAACAAAGATTCATTCAATTTGAAATGAAATGGACGCCAATGGAAATCCATCAGAACAGCTGAATAAACAGCTGAATATCTAAGTGATTATCAAAAAATTGTTTCAATAATAGAGTTCACAGTTTTGACGCATAAAAAGGTGAACTGAGGATTGCTTTCATGCGAAACATGCTCTTCGCATTTATCAACCTTATTTATTTCATCGGTTATAGTGATTGTGCTGGGGAGAATATTAAAGTGTGCTCAACAGGAGGGCAAAATCCTCGTCCTACAATTCCACCTGAATATTGCCAAGACGCGGATCCCGCATGTCCTATTTTGTTTCCATTGACAGGAGATGAAATACTACAAAACCTCAACGTGTTAGCGTTATCACCAATTTTTTTTTTAAATTTTTTCGTTTATGACTGTATATGTAGCGAGAAATCAATTAAGAACATAGATATATGAAATTCGATCATTTTATCATATATTCCATATATATTCCATTCCAGGGAAATGGCTTATCAAGCTAATCAGGAATGCGTTAATAATGCATCCCTTGAAACGATAAGTGTGGAGCGATGTCCAAAAACGTGTGCAAAATGTTGC